CGCGTCTGGAGACGCCGGCGCTACTGCTCATAAGGTAGATTCCAAAGAGCCATGAGGCTACTAATCTTATCAAGTCATATCGTCAGCGTTAGGCATTCGCCATGGCAATTCAGATTGTAATTGTATTTAATTCATTAATTGAATTAGTTTTAAATTTAAATTACCTTACTTTCTACTTGCATTAAAATCTTGAGTGTCTGCCGCTGATGGATGGGCGAACACACGAAATTTTGAGGTATATACATATGTACATCTCTATGTTCTCTACAAATCCGTATGTGCTATTTAAATTTAAAGAAATACAAAAATTTAAAAGATCAAGTTATTGGGGTAATTTGTATCGCTGTCAATAAATTTTTGCAATAATCTTATCAACCGTTATGTTAAATTACGGAGTTGCTACGATTTTTTTGGGGGTTATGTATTGAAAACAAGGTTTGGGCTACTTTTTTCCAAAAGTTTAACCCATCATAGATGGTTAAAATTTCCACTAAAATATAAAGCGCCAAATTTTTCTTAGGAGAACCGAATGTAATGAAAAATAATAGTAATTTTTAGCAAAAAGGGGGACTTTAAACCTGTGTAGAAGACATTGCGATGCGCGGGAGCAAAACCTTCCTGGGATTTGACCACCACTTAGAAATGCTAACGTAATTTTCACACAGCCACCTAGTACTTGTATACGTCTGCGGGACCCCAGAATAAAATAAGTTACGAATGCAAAAATTAGCAAAAAAAAGAGTTTGCTTTTTATTAAAAGTGTGTTTATAATATTAAAAAAAATACACAGGAAAATCAACTTATCTTTGTTTTATCTCCAATAATTGAGGAGTTAGATGCAATAAGGGCGCTTCTGTTAAAACTGCTGAGATATTGGCGTTAAAGTTTAAATGTGTTATAACTTTCTTGTTGTTGTAGTATATAAAAAAGTAGTATTGTTGTAGTATTGAAAAAATTGTCTACTGCGGAAAAAATTGTCAGATTACCAGTATTCGACCCTAATTTAACTGTAATAAACGCTTTCGATTGAAAAACGTGTTACCTATGTTTTTTCTGAGTTACGCTTTTTTTGGAAATGTTCAGTGGCCCAAATTAAGCAAAAAAAAACTCCTTTAAAAATGTAATTTTCATTTTCTAAAATAGTGTTTTTTTACGAGTAG